AATAGAAGTTTGGAAAGATTAAACCGAAAGAGGAGGATGCTTCAATCTGTCCGTGCGCCTGCCTTCCAGCTTTCCCTGACCTCACTACCAAAGGGCAGCGTTCTTCCCTTCTTATTTTCTTATTCTGTCTGCGCCCTGCTCCGTCAGCCTTCCACGCTGACTGCTCTCTCCTCTGGTTTCGCAAGTGTCTCCCTCTCTCTCCCCGCCAGTCTTTCCGTTTTTCCTCTGCCTAAGGCAGCTTACTCTCTCTTCTTCACGCAGCTTCTTGCTGCTCTCTCGTTCCTGCGTCTCTGCGAGCTGCCCAAAGGGCAGCCCCTTTCTCCCGCTCCCCAGACCTCCTCTCTCTCTCGCACGTCTCACCTTTATCTCTTTTCTTTATTCTTTTTCCGCACCCTCTCCTATCCTTCACGCTTTGCCAGCTGCAACGGCCCGCGTCTCTGCTTTTTCCTGCACGTTCTCTTCCTGGTTTTCCACCTGGCAGCCTCGCTGTCTTCTTCCCATTCCACCTTCCCCCCGAGTCTTCTTTTCACGCCTCCAGCTTCCTCTTTCTATTTTTCTATTCCATCTCTCTCTTGGATCCTTTGGATTCTTTTTCCGTTTCTTTAGTGGACATTCTGTCCACTACTCGTGTAATCATCCTTTCCACTGCCTTTGTTTATTTTGTTTTCTTTCTGTTTCATTTTCTTCTTTTTGCTTAAATTGATCCTACAACAAAATTAACTACACATTAACACAAGATAAGGTAAACTGCCACAATTTTAACACAAAAACATCACAAAGACTATAGAAATGGATGGTATATATGTATGAAATATATGAGTGATCATTAGTGAAATAGATGCGTTCACAAAAAACGATATGTGTGGTTGCATTATCTGCCAGACAACTAGCTTTCCCATTAGTCACACTTGAAAATAAAAATTAATTTGAATCGGTCACATGCATAAAAGTTCTAAAAAACAAATATTCGTTCAAAATAATTTAAGTATTCGAGGATGGTAATTAAAAAAACTTAATATCTAAAAACAAATCGCCAACAATAATCCAAACATAAAAAGAAAATTGTTCAAACTTAAACCAAAAACAAAGAGGATTCGCCCACTTAGTGGAATTCAGCCCTAGGGGTCTAAAATTCAAATAAAAATAGTTTATGTCTAAGATTCTAGTCTTCCATAGGGGTAATGGCCTTTTGAAAATCAAAAACATCCATCTTGGTATGCTCTGATTCATCCACATGCATTAAGTTCATATGTTCTAGCAGACAAACACAAATATATATACAGAAATATGCAACAAGAAAATATGCAAATAGATCTTCGGGGTCAATAATTATAATGTAATTAATTATTTGGACTTTGGGCCAAAATTAAAGTGTGGGTGAAAAAGTTATAAAAACCCAAATTGTCTAAAAAAAATAGACAATTAAAACTCAAGGCCAAAAAATATGGACCAAAGCCCACAGGTGGGCTAAGTAAGTTTGAGGCCATGAAATCCAGCCCAAAAATAGGCTAGAATAGGCACAGGTGGGTTGCAAGCCCAATAGACCAGAGGCCCAAATAGGCATGGTTCTGGTGCGGGTGGGTACACATAGGCCTAGGCACGGAGGTCCTAGATATGAGGTTTGTTCTAGTGCGGCGCAGACACACATACACCAACAGAAGGTTGTGATCATGTATGGCGCGATACATGGGAAAATGCAAGAGCCGAGAAAGGCTCAACTGGTTCTCAGGTCTATGATCACCAAAGCCCAAAGAGCAGGTGATGTGGGTCAAGGCAATAAGCACAAGCAGACCCAAAAGAAAGGTGTTGTGTGATATGGGCCAAAGGAAACCGAGGCCCATTAGGTCTAAGGTTGGATCTACAGGCCACCCTAGTGGCGCTGGGTGTGTGAATCCACCGGAGATAGTCAATGGCACAGCTTTAGGCGGTTTTCCGTGGTTGAGGCAAGCCATGGTTCATTAGAGAACCAAGTTTTTAGCGACGAAGATAAATCCTCAACGTCAGTGATGTGAGAATTGAAGGGATTCGAGTGAATCTCGTGAAAAAAAATAAAGAAATTCGTCTGGAATTTTCGAAGATCTTTGTTGAAAACAACGAGTTTCGTCCTAAGCACATAACTGACAGTTGTGGTTTCGTAAAAAACAAAATCAACAGAGAAGGTCTCAGCTTCAAGTCGAAGGTTTGGGTTAGGGACAATGGTGCCAAAACGTACTGTTTGGATTCTCTAGGCTTGTAGCCTTAGGATTAAGCTGGGCTCACCAAATTGATGTAGGCTGTTAGCCTGGTATTGGCGGTCATGCACGGTAGTGTGGCTCGAAGCCGGCGGTGCTAAAACCCTAATTTTTTTCTTTAATTTTTTTCAATTTTAGATTATAAGTTAATTCAATTTTTATGCATATTCACATATAATTCAATGCATAGATGTCATATCCTGGCTCGGGCCCCCACCATATCCCAGGCTCGACTCCGCCGTAACACGATATTGTCCACTTTGGGCCCCGACCACGCCTTTACGATTTTGTTTCTGGGAACTCACAAGAGAACTTCCTAGTGGGTCACCCATCCTGGGATTGCTCTCACGCGATCTCACTTCACTTTGGAGTTCCGATGGAACCCGAAGCCAGTGAGCTCCCAAAAGGCCTCGTGCTAGGTAGAGATGGGAATATACATATAAGGCTTACAGGATCCACATCCCTAGGCAATGTGGGATCTTACAATAGACATGGATTCGATGCAATTCATGGCAATGTCATTCACATAATTTAACAATTATGGATATAATGCACACACAATTTGTGTAGAATCGAAAATCCAGAGTAAAGTTAGGTCATGGATTATGGTGAATTTTCATGCTATCAGGACTATAAAAATATCTTGATAAAAACTGTTGTTTTGGAAGAACCTGATTGCTTGATGATATTAATGAACTGGTTTGATGCAGAAAACTTCCACATCAAATTCCTAAGCGCAATGGTAGGAGCATGTTGATAACGTGTTGTGGCTTATTTTAATTTGATAGGGAGAAAGGGAGGTGCGGCAGCAGAGAGAGATTAGAGAGAGATGTGTTTATAGGGTTGTGCAGAGGATGAGTGATTCTCCCTACGCAGTGCTTTTATTTATAGTAATAAGAGATGAAAGAATCTTTCTCCTCCAAGGAATACAAGTCATAATAGGAAAGAATAACTAGTATCAAATCAAATCTAGGATTTACACAATCACACTTTAAACAATGTTTATAACAACCCCAATTTTTTAATCGAATTTTAACATATGCGGTTTTGAAACCTTATAAGATTTTACACTGTTTTTCATACATGACAAAACTCAAAGAGTTGTACGTCTAAGTACCCACTTGGTAGAGCTTTTAGCGCCAGATTTTAGCTTTTTGTCAATCTTGTGAGCTCTCTAAGTTTGTTGTTTGATAATCATTTCATTTTCAGTTTTTTGTTTTTAGTTTTCATTTTTCACCTTTTTGAAAATTGAAATCTTGTCCGGTAACTATTTAAAGTTTTCTAAAAAATGAAAACTAAAAACTACTTTATTGAGTTTTCATTTTTTTTATGAAAACTGAAATTAATTACCAAACAAGATTTCAGTTTTTAAAAACGTGAAAAATAAAAACAAAAAACTGAAAACAAAATTGTTATCAAACGATCCCTAAACTGTTTGATAAAACTCTCAAATTTTGCTCGTCCAAAAATCTGATTTTGAGGAGCTGTCCCAACCTAGATTTGAGAGCAATTTGTTTGGCACATTAATGAAATTTATAACCGGACAAAAACATCCTTAGAACATCTCCAAATGAGAGGTTAAATTGTTCAAATCATTGTTAACAGTAAAAAAAGACAGCAAGAATGTTTTTGAACCGAAAAGGCAAATCTGATGTGGCATTACATGGATTGACAACCCTCTCCTTTGTTGTCAAAATTGACAGCAGCGTCAAATTTTTTTAATTAATTACTAAATCACAAATATCAATCTGCAAACTGCAAACCCAGGTCTAAAAATATTAGATCGAAGGCAAACCCAGCTTCTTGGTTCAGCGAAAATTCAACTTCGCCGCTACATCTTGGAAGCTTGGCGTTCTCTCCAGCAAGTAATTTCTCATTTTCTTCTTCTTAAGCTTTGTCACAAATGGATTTTAGGATTTGGTTTGTATTTGAGTGTTGAATATTTGACCATTGAATCTTGTAATGCATTTGAATAAAAAGGAACAGGCTAAGCGATATTGTATCAATTCAATTTGCTTCGAATCCAATTTAAAAGAAAAGAAGAAAATACGGCTTGAAGTTATATAGGTATGAAACTTATCAAGCTGATTTAAATTACTTTGCAGCTCAGAAGCCTCAGTATTTTATCCCTTGGGTATTAATTCAGATACTCATGCTGGTGTACACCTGGGAAATTATGATAAGAAAATAATGTAACCAAATTTAAAATTATAAAACATAAAGTATGAAAAGGAATAATATAATAAAATAATATTTAATTTGACATAATCAGGTGAAGAACAAAACTTTGAAAGATTTTGAAGTGCCACATAGACCGTCAAATCTAAATTTTATGTTTAAAATTTGACTGGTCTTAGAATTTTGTTAAAGTAATATCAAGCCATTGGACTCTCTTTCTCTTCTAAAAGTGGAACTCGGGCATGTTAGATGGTAAACCCAACTTTAACTCAACATTCAAAATTCAAGTTAGGGTTAGGTTCAAGTTCATGTAGGTTTATTCAAGTTTGGGTGTAAATTGAATTCGAACTTACATGGGTTGTGTTCGAGTTTATCTAACTTTATTGAATTCAATCTTATAATATCTTATTTTATAAGATTTTTCAAATTTTGTACCAAATAACGTAAATATATATTAGTTAAAATTCAATTTTACGCATCAGTACCCACGCAAAAGCTTAAACCAAGTGTTAGGGTGGGAGAACACCTCTAATGTTTCAATTATGCAAAGTTGATAAAATTACAAGAGAATACTAAAGTTTCAATCCAAAGAAACTGAACGCACCATTATTATTCATTGTTCAAATCAAGATCAACAACATAACTTCAATTATATATATTTATATTATATAATATTATGTAGGGTGAATAATATGTGCATGAGAGAATTTGAGATGGAATTCAAGTTGGATTTGGGTTGACATGGACGGGCTTTTTACTTCATAATGACCCACTCGATCAAGTTTAAAATCTAATCGGACATGGATAGATTCAGGTTGACCCAACCTAAGTTGCACCCAACTCTCCACTCACATGCCCCAACCCCAACCACCGTTAGTCATCCTCCACCCCTCCACCTCTTTTCCCCCCAAACGAATTTGATCTCAAAGCACCGAAATCTCCATGCCAAATTCCATCCCACCCTCTATGAGATAAATTCAAAACCCTAATTTGTACGATCTCAAGTCTTTGATCTTACATTCATCAAACGCGTACACAACGTAGGGCTGAAAGTTTCAGCACAGTTAAGCATTCAGGACACGGAGAGTAAATTGAATTGCTAACCAAAACATATTTGAGATTCACCTATTGGCCACTGTCAATCGTTAAACAATCAGAAGTAACTAGACTTGCCCAGTAGTAAGTCGAGCATGTCGTCAGGAGTAAGGAGAGTTGTTCCTCCAAGAATCAATTCAATATCCGGCCTTCCACTCTCGGATAATGCCTCTTGAGCTTCACGAACCTTATTACACATAAAAAACAACAGGGTTAAGTTTCTTTTGCAAGTGAATATAAGTAATTTTTTCCCGAGGAACTACCAGTTTTCATGCGAAATGTTAACATACGGGGAAGAGAATCTGAGAAATGCATACCTCGACGCTATTGATTCCTCCAATGACAAAAACCAGGATGATATTTTGGTCGGCTAAACTTGGTTTTGCCTGAAAATCGGAAAAAAAAGGTTGGTTATCAAGCATATATGGACCCATTGAACCAAAATCTGGACATGGGAACTTACCTGCCCAAGGCCAAATCTTCTGAAACCACTTTTAAAAAGTTGTCCCACAGTAGACGAGTGATACTCCAGACCAGGTACGTCGTTCTTCGCCAAAACCCTTGTTAGAAGCTTATATAGCAGTCCTCTGCTTGCATATGGATCTCCACTGAAATTATTTTCTGAAGACAATGACCCGTCCTTCAATGGTATGTTCCTACTCTTCAAACTAGATAGCTTGTGAAGGAATTTGAAAAGATTATCCACCCTATCACGCAGCTCCAACTTCAGCTGCATGTCACTGTACACTTGCTCTTTACTGTTATTTTTATTATCAACTTCTTCATCGCCCCATTTACCCCACTGATCGTCGTCAAAATCATCGATGTCTATTTGATCAGAAGACGTTTCTTTACTTTCATCGGATTTGATCCTGCTTAAGTTGGTCTCGAGCTCTTCCATTAGACCATGAAGAAACTTGAGTTTTGCTATTGACGGGTTTTCAAGAATTGCTTCAACAATAGAATCCTTCAACAATTTCTCCTCTTGCCAAGAAAAAGGGCCATCAGACCCAGATGTCGGAAAATTCTCACCGGCTAATATATATCCAGAAATCATAAGGAGCAAGGCATCCTGAAAAGAAAGTAGTCCTTTTGAGGCCTCCGACTTTTTGTTCTTCTGTCCATGCAATCCCATCAGAGCCGTCTTATTGATAAGATCGTCAATTTGAGCAGAAAGACTCTGGGTTGTGTCTCCAGCACTTACAACACTCAATATTCTCTCTGCACTCATAAATGCTTCCCATCTGGCCGAATTAGATTCGTCAAGGGCAACCAGAGCAGCTGCTGCTAATTGAATAATTCCCTTATTTCTCAGTAAAGATGACTGCGTTTTAGCTAGGGCTTTTACCATAAGTTGCAACTCTGACTTTGTAACAAAACCAGGACGCGATTTGACATTCACAGTTATATTTTCCCGACGAAGAGCTTCTTGAAGCCACTTCTTCACCAGTACAGCTCCATCTTTTGTTCTCCTGTCTAGTATAGCTTCCATGTATGGTGTTCCACGAAAACTTTCTGTAGAAACAAAAGACCCACTAAGAAGCTCATTCTCGAACTCAAGCGGCTTCTCATTATGAACTTTGTTCTTTAGGTTCATCAAATCCAAAACCTGAGAGGCAGAGTTCCCAGAATCCCACCCGCACAGAAAAGCTTCAATGCTTTCTAAAAGCCTAAAGTTATCTGTGTTGTTATCTTCTTCACGTAGAACTAGGGCAAGTGGTATTTGAACATCAAGAGAAGCACGTTCCAGGTTAGAAGGGCCATGCTTGAGTTGGTTTTGTGAGCTTTTTAGGTGGGCGGAGGATGTTGTTTTTTCCCTGCGGGGCAGGGATGAAAACATACAATCAACAAGTGAATCTCCATGACAGCATGGAGTAAGAAGATCCAGTGTACGATCAATGAGTAATAGCCCTGCGGATCGTTTACGGCGACCTACATCATAAAGACTTGACATGTCTGTCATAATTTTCCCCACAGTTTTTGAGAGATCACCAAGTGAAAATATTTCCATCTTCAAGTCCATCTGCATAATTAAATAAAACACACCATAGTCAGGGTATACTAATCAAACAAAGCACTCTGAATGGACAACATAACAAATTAACCTTGGCGGTAATCACACACAAAAGAAAATATAGCAATAACTAGCAATACATTTCAAATTCTTCTTGTATTTTTTAATTCATATTCCTTCATATGTTCCCTTGCCTTGACATTATTTCACCACACAACGTAGAACAATTGTATCCCAACTCCCATGCGAGACAGATCAAATACATTTACAGGAAATAGAACTGAACTTTGGCAAGAACCATTGTCGGAGTCTATAGTGCTGTCTATATAATGGAAAACGACAGTGTAGAAATTTTGGGAATTTCTAAAGCTTTTAGATAACATAAATACAAGGTTTTTGGATTGTTCTACATGTACAACCTTGTAAACAGTAAGCTATCATTTCCAACTCTATGACAATATAAGTGCAATCTAGACTTTTGAAGATAATCAAATTTCAAATATGCTGAAAACTAAAGAAATGAATGCAAAGAACTAAAATTAAACTTGGGGAAAGGGAAGCATGTAGAGCACCTTTGCAGCAAGATGGTAAAGAAAATTTGCTGTAAGCGTTGCCCCGGCAGGAATATCGTCACCATCAGAAAGCAATCCAGTACTTAAGGGGGGCAACCCTGGACTAAGAGCATCCTCATGTTTAACTGATAAGTATGCATCACCAACTGATCCCTCTGAAGGTAAAACAAATACTCTTGGTGAAAGGGGGCACAAAATCATGGGGAAGTGATGCACAGAAACAACCAGTTTTTTCCCTACATCTTCTGTATCAGCTACTGACTTGTCTTCAATGAAATTTCTTGCACTTAAACTAGCTTCATTTTGAGATATGTCCTTTAAGTTGCTGCCTTCTGTCCGTCTGGAATTTTTCTTATCTTTCTTAACAAGCTCCTCATAATCTTGGACAAGCAAGGACTCGTATTCATGAAATGCATCTGGTCCCAGAGGTGAATCAGGATACGCTGAATGAGCTATCTGCATTCAGTAAAGCATTCAACATTTAGGAAAGCTAAAGTAATAATACTGTGATGATGAAACATCCATCGAATTGTCCAGAGAATAAAGGATGGGAAGATAACTCAAATCACTGCTACTAATGCTGATGCTGGTATCAATAGTACTACCAACACCGCTCCAAAAAAGAAAAAAGAGGTTTTGACAGGCTTTTATTATCAAATGAACAACAAAATTTGGCTCAGATAAGGCAGCTGAAACTTTTGAAGACTAGAAAGGATGTAACTAAATTAACTATATCCACAATCTTCTAGTTCTGCAACACCTTCCTTCAGTTTTCAAAAACAATAATCTGCATTCCTAATTTAACATTTCAGTGTTCTGCCAAAAAAGTAACGGAACAAATACAGATCACGAACTTAATTCTTGAAGGGCACATTTTCATAAAGGAGAATGAGATCAACTAAACAAGCTTCTGACCATATCTACTCAAACTGATTATCTAAAGAAAAGAGCGAACATTAAAATTCCATTTAGAAGCGGTAATTCCACAGAAGTACCTCTGAAACAGATGTGAATACAGTACAACAATCTACAGCTTGATGTGTGCTCAGACAACGTAAAATATATCGATGTGCATCACTTAGTAGACGAGAAGTGATCACCACAACTTTCCTTACAGGATCAGAATTTGCATTCCAATCAACCACCTGAAAAATAAGGCATATAGGCAGTTAAATACAAAAAGGATAAATGATAATTTAAATATTAATGTTCATTCACATCTCATAATCATAATTAAAACAAAATAGAGGACTAGAAGTTTGGGGCATCATGGAAAGACAATGAAGCACTTCCTTTAGAGTGCTACAGTTACTAGAGTTCTCGAGAATTCATGTCAAGGACAACAAAGCACTTCCTTCATGTTAATAGATTAGTAGTCAAGCTACAGTTACTAGAGTTCTAGAGAATTTATATGCCTGTTAAAAATGGTTTTTTTTTTTTTTGGGGCTTTAATAGATTAGTAGATAAGCAGATTTTGATGACAAAGGAGATATATGAACCAATAGGGTATCAGAGACGGACAAAGTCTAATGTGTCCTTGAGTTTAGGGTTGTGCCTTGAGTTTAGGGTTGTGTTGTGACTCGTGGGCATCAGTTTGGGGTGGCCATCGTTGTAATGTGATCAATATACCCACTGTAAAGAAAGAAGAAAACAAGAACATAACTAATTATTTTCACCAATTCTCCAATCCAATACACCAAAATGGTCTTCTAATGCTTTATCCAAACAAAACAAGACTATAATTTTTCCCAAGAACAGTTTCTTAGATAATATCATTTTCCATCAACACAAGAGAGTTTACATGAAACACACAGAGGCAAAAATTTGCTTATAGTGACCATCGGAAGAAAGTTTCTACTTCAAAAACAAAAAAAGATAATTCACCACACTTTTAAGTTTTAATGTTATATGGCATCTCTGTCCAAATGTTGAAACTGTTTTCACATTTAACAAAATGTATGAAAAAACACGGCTCATAGTAGCCCTGTAAAATCCAACTTACCGTATCAAGAGAAGAAATGTTTTCCAAACTACACAGAGCACGTACTCCATGGTTCAGTAACAGGGGAAACGCTCCTGTGTACTGGAAGCTCTTTGTACATCCAGCATCTAAGTAAAGAACAGAACCTTCAATGTGCTCCGATATCTAAAATGAGAAGATGAAGAATTAACAATCTTATAAATCAAATATACATAAAATTCAACTGAACATCAACATGTCTAATACGAGAGCAATTAATTCAAACTAATTCGACAGGAACCCCTCTACTCCAAAACTCAAGTATAATAAGAACTCGTACAATAATGATTCTACGTAGAGTAAGGAAATAAAAGGGAAACGCAAGCTTCTGTGCTCAGCCTTAAAAGTTAGATTCAAACGTAACTTCCAAGACATTCTCATTTTACAAGAATCCAACCTACTGATGGTCAATTTTTTCATTAAACTTCCAAGACATTCCCATTTTACAAGAATTCATAAAAAATAAAATAAAATAAATCGCTAATAAGTCAAATGGGAAATCAAATACAGACAACTGATTGGTGAAGGACTAGGATAGTAGGATTTTAACAACTAGAGAGGATGAATCCTGTCAATAATTCAAGAAAAATTTAGGAGTTGTGAGCCAAGAATTCATCCTCCAATCCCTAATTTTTTTTTTCAAAAGAAGTCATATTTAAGCCCTAACATTAGATTTGCAGTTGCCAAAACTGGGTAGAATCTGAAAGCCTGACGAATACAGTAATTTGCAGTGAAAGAACATAATTCGATTTAGTACGAAAACGCAGTGAAGGAACATGATCCAATTGAAAATTCATATACAAACGATAATCACCTGGCTAATGGAATCGAGGCAAGATTTGGTGACATCAACGACAGCCATGTTTCGATTCAGTTCACATGAATAAGCAGAAAATCAGCTGAACAAGAGTCATAAGGCTTCCTTCCCCTTCCAAGGATTTGCAATTGAGTTGGGTAATCGGTGCTGTTATTATCACTGTAAGCCCTAATTCCCATTTCTCCTCTGTTTCATTTTTTTTTTTCTTTCAAAATTTCCTCCGTTTTATATTTTTGTATTTAAGGAGTGTGTAGTCAAACTAAATATTAGAAAGATTTTAAAGGATTTTAAAAGTGATGGGTTTGATAGAATTTAAGAAGATGGCTTAAATGTCAACACGGTACATGTGCTTTATTTATCGGTCAATTTAATCCATGTGTTTTCAATTCGGCCAAATTGGTCTCTGTGTTTATATTCATTAGCCAATTCGAGACAATTCGTTAAAGGACTATTAAAATTGACATGTGCTAGGCACGTGAGAGGATAAAAACGTAATTTTATTGTACACCCACTAAACAGATACAATGCATATCTTTAATAATAATACATATTTCATTTTATGTGTGCAGATTTTCCTCAAGTTATTGAGGATTTAACCCAACCACCATTATCACAAGCTTAAATAATTTATGAAGAATCATTCAATGAATTCCCTACATAATTGTTTAGTCAGGTTGATGAAAACAGGTATTGCCCAAATGGTTTTAGCAATGAATTCTTATTTCAAGAAGAGAGAAGTGCTTTGTATCATGGTGAGCCTTAATATCATTATGATGTACCGACACAAACCAATGAGTGTGAATATGATGGTGATGGTGAGCGAAAATCTGATGCAGAGAATTCTCTTTATGAGGAAAGTGATAATAATGGTGACAATGGTGATTCTAATACAGACAGTTCCTTATATGATGAGGATAATGATGCAATGATTGAAGATGACAATTCCAATGACAATGCATATGCATAAGAGAGTTTCATTGGATGCAGTAAGAAACAAAAAAAAAATTGGGTAGCAGATATACAGGTTGAGGATTTAAACATGGATAAGTAGCAGTATAACTCAGATGAATTACATTCGCCATTGAACTTTGATGAAGAAGGACATGGTCGTAGATGCAAAGACTTTAATGTTGACTCTAATATGGAAAACCCACAATTTGATGTTGGGATGAAAGTTCCAAGTAAAAAGGTGTTAAAGCAGGCTATACAAATATATGGAGTCCTAGGGTCATATGAATGTAAGATAGGGAAGAATGATACAATCAGGTTGTCTGCTAAGTGCAAGTAAGGTTGCAGTTTGAGGTTGTTTGCTTCTGTGATGTAGGGTGAAAATACTTTTCAAATCAAGAGCTAAACTTCTGGTCATTCATGTTCAAAAGGTTTCTTTAACAAAAACATAACTTCAACTTTTCTTTCTGAAAGAATATGGGTAGGATTAAAGATGATCCTAAGATTAAGAAGACAAAGCTTCAGTCAGAGATATATAGAGACTTGGGAAATGAAGTCTTAACAAACCAATGTTACAAAGCTAAGAGGAAGGCTATAACTTTGATTGAGGGGACTTATGCTCAACAATATGAAAAGTTATGGGAGTATTGTGAAGGGGTTAGAAAGACAAATATAGGCAGCACTATGATGATGAAGGTGGATCCTCCTTATTTCCAAAGACTTTATGTGTGCCTAGATGCTTGCAAACAGGGGTTTGGATCTGGTTGCAAACCTTTGATCAGTGTAGATGGCTGCCACCTTAAGGGAACATTCCAAGGTAAATAATTAATTTGTAGTTTTATTTGACATCAACTCATATAGATGTGGTATTAATTTAATATAACATCTATATATCTATACGTGCATATTAATTCAATACCTTGGCAGGACAATTACTTGTGACAGTGGGAATTGATGCAAGTGATAACATGTATCCCAATGCTTATGCGGTTGCTGAATTGGAAACTAAAGAGATCATGGTGTTGGTGTAAACACGGAAATTCCTACGATGAATGAGACAAGAACAGGTGTACAAAATAACATTTTGTATTAATGATTTTGGGGTTACAATCTCTCTCATATTTAATCCTCTGATTCGATCTCCGTAAGATGTTGATTTATGGATGAGCTGCTGATCCAAAGGGCCGTCGAGGCTTGATCTTTAGGATGAACAGTGGTGTACATCAAGGGCTTTTGGGCTTGATCTTGAAGAACAGTGAATGAAGTTATTGATGTTGTTGATCCAAATGGTCGTCGGGGGCTTGATCTTTAGGATGAACAATGGTAAATGATGAACACTTTCTTCAAGGGCCGTCGGGGCTGGATCTTGAATTGGTGGAAGTTCTTCAAGGGCCGTTGGGGCTTGATCTTGAAGGAGGATTTGACGAAGAACGAAGAGAGTTTTCTTGATCCTTCGAGATTTGCTTGGGAGCTTTGGAGTTTCAAAGCTTCAAGGTTTTGGTGTGATGTGAATTGGTTATGAATTGGTCCCCCAAAATGAATGTCTTGGCTTCCTATTTATAGAATTCCAAAACTTGATTTTTGGATTTAAATAATCAGATGAAATAAATCATTTCTGTCAAGTGTTGACACGTGTCATGTTTAATGACTTTTCTGATGATTCTCGATTTTTCGTTGAGTCACATGTTATGTGTAAAATTTATGTGACACGTGAACGTTGAAATTTTAATTTTTGATCAACATTTATTTCACTGAAATTTCGATGTCTATAGTTGGTTTCTTCAACTTTTGATTGAGGTCATTGGTCCAGTTAGTGAACATGGGTGGACCTTTATTTCAGATCAACAAAGAAAAAACTTTATATCATTTATTGGCATTAAGAGTTGTATATATAAAGTTATATGAAAAACTTTTATGTTGCTTGATTAATTACCAATGATGTACAATGTATACCACCTGGCAAAGCTGTTTATACAACGAAAGCAACTACAAGTTCAAAGAAAAAGAATATTTGATTATAATTTGAGTTGTTTTAGTTTTTCTTTGGTAGTAAGGATTCTATTAAGTTTTATCTATGTGACGAGAAAGACCATGTAGTACTTGTTTTTGGTGGAGTTCAAAGTAACTTCATTTTATAGCATGAGTTTTCATTTTTACGTTTATAAAAGCATGGAATTAGTTTTCTTTGTGATCTTGCTAGAGTTAAATATGAAATTGCTTTTTGTTTTCATTTGTGCAGATAGGAATATACTTGTGATCAAGTTTATGTGCAAATTTAATTGGAACAAATGTAGTCTCATTTATATTGAAAGATAAAACAAGAAGTCAACAATAATCTCATATTTAAAAATTAAATGAATGAATTTCTCTATTTATGTACTTGTGACCAAGTTTAGTGGGTGTACAATAAAATTATGTTTTTGTCCTCTCATGTGCCACGCACATGTCAATTTTAACTGTCTTTTAACTGATTGTCTTAAATTGACTAACGGATATAAACACAGGCAAAATTGAAAAAACAGGGACTAAATTAGCTGATAGAGTAAAACATAGGGACCATGTTGACATTTAGGCCTAAGAAGATTTAAGACTCCTACAAAATCCGAATTTGAATAAATTTAGTTTGTAGATTTGATGAATTTTGGTGGATTTTCATATAATTTTTTTATTAAAAAAAAAAGGAAAATATTTTCCCTTGCCTTACTGTACTTGATAGCCACTTTATCCTATCCCTAATTTGTGTCCCCTTTCACACCTTCACAGCTCCATTTCTCTCTTAATTGAGCACTGCTACACCACCAGCAACCCTAATCAATGGCTAGCCCTTTGATCATTCAATTTTTTATTTATTTAGCAGATGTTCTATTTCGCAAGCAATTGCAGCAACCTTCGAAAAATCATCCTCATCAGCCTCGTCACAAAAATCTATTTCATCAACAATTCCGACAACATTTGGAGGAACACCGAACCCAACCTCATCGACATCTGGAGATTTGGATGAAAAACAAGTTATGCACCAACACCGACATCTGGATACGCATTTGCAGAGAATACATGGCCACATTGATTGCTACCCAAATCCTTTTCTGCATTGAATTCACATTCTAGGCACCATCCCAAAGATTTAACAGATGTTGAATTTTGAGGCCTATGACAGAAAGAAAATGAACCAAACTTCCCATTTGCAAAGTCTCTACTGTTGGTACCTTAAATTTCTAAGCATCGTCACTAGTCAATGTGGAGCATGCGCTACTGACATTAGGGAATTTATTAGGATAAGTCCTTTTAGAGCTTTTCTTTCTTATGATGGAATGAGTATTTTTGAAATTCTTATTAGACGAATGTGGCCACGTATTCTTTGCATATGCAACCTCTGTAGCATTTGGTGTTCGTTGGTTTGTCACTGTGTGTGTGGCTAGGGTTGGTAGATATTTGAGGATTGCCCAGATGGAATAAGATTTGAAATCCTAGGGGCTGAGGTCGGATTCTTTTTTGTCTTGGTTATATATACTTCTTGCTCTCAAATTCCACAAAATCCACCACTTATTGAAATCTTACAAAATCTTAATTTTCTAAATACACTTAGATTTGGATGGACTTTAAAATCTCTAATAAAATCTCAATGGACTTAGATTTGCATGGATTTTCAAAATCATTTAAAATCTTTTAGTTGACTACACTAGGATTTTAAAGTCTTTTAAAATCATCTCAAATCTGAGTTTGACTACACCCCGCCTAAAAAATTAGGGGGTTGTCTATTATTTTTTCTTTAACAAATGATATTATCTACACTAAATACTGGTTTGGTACTGAGGTACTTTTATAAAAAGTGTGTATCAAAAAAGTTGAGCTTAAAAAGGTGTTTGGTAAACACTTAAAAACAGCTTATTTTCACAGTTTTGGGTGAAAAAAAAGCTGAAAACGTGAAGCAGCAAAAATGAGCTTATTCTCACAGCACAGCAGAAGCAGTTTTTTCTCAAAACACAGCAATACCAAACCAGCCCTCAGACTTCCTCCAACTCTTGGAGTAAAACTCAAACTTTAGGTTCTAAACTTACTAACTTACTCCGACTTGCTCTAACCCTTGGGGCAAATATGAGTTTTGACCAAAACTCATTTCTAGGGCAAATCTAGCCTAGGATTCCCCCAGGTACCATATATGTGTATTTTTGCTTTTTATATTTATAAATTTATTGAATCCAACGGCTAAGATCTAATATGATCAAATCCAACATAAAAAAAAGATCGATTGGTCCAAATTTAAATCGAACGGCTAAAGTAATTAAATTTTT